TCCCTCACTCCCTCTCCCTCTCTCTCCCTCTCTCACCGCTGGCTCTGCGCGGTGAGATCAGTGCAGCCGGTTTGGTCGGGACTCCTGGACGGCCACTTCCTGCTTTCACTGAAACAACAAACAAAACAAACAAAAGAAAACATGAATCATCAATAAAACTAACTAAACAAACAAACTAATATAAACAAACCTATAAATATGATTCACGTGTATCTGAACAAATCCTCCTCATGTGACCTTTAAGCTGCGATAACCAGGTTCAGAGAGGAAGAATCGCTTCCTCCAACAACTTCAGTCTTTATTCTTCTCTTTCACTGCGAGCGGAGACGTTTTGCTCGTTGTTTAGTCTGAGATGACAATGAAACTCTGTTCAGAGGCATCAGACAACAACACCGACGTCACGGTGAATCCCAGAGAGGTTTCAGGGTAAACACTGGAGAGGATTTCTAAATGTCAGCATCAACACCGCTCACTGAGCTCATCTTTCAACGGACGCGTCAGCTCTCGTGAATCCGTCCGAGTCGCTCCTTTATGTGTTCAAAACTACTGAAACTTTATTCAAATGTTGACCTAGTTGAGGGTTTGGGGAGAGACATACAACCAACAGCTCAATCTGAAAGGAACAAACGGAGCTTGTTGTTTTGGAAATTCCCCAAAGTTAGATAACTGTTCATTATTTTAAATCTGTGTTGGAGGCAGACTGACATGTTGACATGACGTCTCACTTAAAGGGTAACACACCTCCCTTTGTTTTTGTGGTCCAGTATTGAGAGAATATACCGGCTCTATACGTTGGTTTCTCCCCGACCTCCGTCTCAAACCTCTCTCCTAATATTTTCACTTTTAACTTCTTAAATTCTGGGTTTATTTCCACTAAACAAAAAGTTGGTGATTGTTGGAACAGTGGAGAGTTTTAGGGAGTTTTATTTGGTTTCTGTCTGTTGAATTAAATTAAAAAGGATCTTACTCCTATCTCTTACGGTCTATCTCTGTAGGATCTTTTCCATAACGTTATCTGACCTTATAATAACAATCTGAGTCTATCAGTGACAGAAACAAGCACTTTTAGTGGATTACCGGACCAACTTCAGAAGTTGTTGTCCCTGTTGCCGTCCAGTTTAAGAAATACCAACGTTCCTCTTTAAGTTTTAGTAAAATCAAACATGAAATAAATTCAATCTGATCTCAGTGTTCGTACGAAATCATGAGTGAGTAAATCAGCATTGTTAAATATACAGTAATTACCAAGCTTCACAGTTGTGATAGGTCAAAATCTGACAACAGAGATTATCACAACTGCATGTGCTTTTTAAATAAGTTTAAAGTGAAAGCTTATCAGCAGGTTATCTGGTAGATTGGCAGTGTAAGCAGGAAGCAGCGTGTTACAAACCTCGTGTCAATATTTGTACGTTGCCCTGAACTTCTGTACACGTGCAGAAACAGTTCCCCTGCTGAACGAGAGCGACTGTAAATGTTTAAAAGGATTAAGTTTACGATTAACTGGCTTTAGAGCAGGATGAGGAGAAGCAGCGCGTCGATTCATCATCACCTCCATTAATCAGCAAACCTCTGATTTATACCAAATATACACATTTACTACTTTTAACATTTAAAAATGAGCACAAATGTAAAAAAATATTATATTATAAGTATTTAAGAACTGTTACTGGATCAGGATTCATCAAAAAATATCAAACGTTAAAATGAACGTATGATTAGCAACTGATTATTTTCCCTGAAGAATTGATGAATCATTTGTTCCATAAAATATGAGACAACAGCTCAATATAACTGATATTTAGTTAACTATGTTAGAAAAGAAGCAAATATAGACATTGGACAGGCAGAAATAAGTGAGTTTTTGGGTTATTTGTGCTTTAAAAAAAAGATTTGAACTGTTTTAAATGAACTAAATGACTCACAGTCAGCTTGTCTGTTAACAGCTGTGTGTACAGACTTCAAACCTGCTCATTTACCATGAATCACTGTGCTTAGTGCTTACGACGTCAGCTAAATGTCTTAAATGTGAGAACAACACTGTGGGCAGTGAAATAAGAATGGAAAACGTTGTGAAATCTCTTCTCAGTTGTGTTTGGCTTCTGGAGTAGAGGCTGAATAAGCTGCACTGACTTAACATTAAAGTATCTTTGGAAACTGACTCGTTCCACATCAGCGGTCCAACTTCACACACACGTCGGAGCAGATTCAGGTCATTTGCTGTGCCTTAAATCCAGACTACGTACTAAATCTGAGTAGGTTATGAGCTGAGTTGTGAGTGCGCTCACCCTGGAGCTGCAGATGCACACTACTGTCCCACAATGCACTGCACTGGAGGACATTTAAGAGCTGCTTAAAGCTGGAAAAAAGTAAAAAAAGTGGTGGAAGTTGAACTTAATTTTCTGTCAATCCAGTAATTTATTTATCTTTTGAGTTCACAATATGAGTTACTGTATTAAAGTATAGTCCAAATCAATAAGTATGTGTTGTTGCAGTTCTGTTATCTGCCTGCAGAGGTCAGTAAAGCTCACAGACTACTGAATACCACTCACGAGTTTGGTTTGTAGAGTCTTGGGGAGCACTGCTCTTATACACTCGCCGTTCCCGACCTGTCGCGCGACAACGTGAAGTCACGGGAGCGCCGTAACTGTTTATACTCGCGCTGGCGGTCGCGACACTCGCTGGCAGCTCTTCCTGTCTACGTTGTTTTTCCTGCGTCTGTGAACAGGTTGGGTAGGACCGAGGAGAGCTTACAGAATGTGTTACGGTGAAAGGCAAAGTGTCACTTTTCGTTGAGGACGTCTTTGCAACAGTGTTTGTTGACAATCATAAATGTCCAATAAATGCAGCATGTTTCTGAAGTTTAAAGAAATAATCGTTTGAATAATCGTGATTATGATTTTTTTCCATAATCGAGCAGCCCTAAAGTAAAGCTCACAGACTGAATACCACTCACTAGTTTGGTTTGAGTCTTGGGGAGTCTGGTTCTCTGTCTGCGCTCCACCGCTGACCTCCACGGAGGGTCTCGGGGGCAGAGTCGGAGTAGTGAGCCCAGCTGCGGCGCTCTTATCCTGGTGTGGAGCGCCCACGCTGGCCCTGGGGGCGACTGGAGGTCTGGGTGGAGGTTTTGTGTTTGTCTCGCTGACAGAGGGGGTGAGTTTGGGGGGAGGTGGTCTGGGGGCTGGGACAGGAGCAGAGGAACTAGACGGGAGGGATTCTGTAGCGCACTGCGGTTTTGGTGTTATTAAAGGTTTTTGTTGGGGTCCCGCAGCTGGAGCGGGTTTCGGGGGACAGGGAGGTTCTGGTTCGGGAGCAGTTTGAGTTTTAGGGTTTAAGTCTGAAGCAGTTTCAGCCGGTTTCAAAGCCTCGATGGTTCCCGAGTCCTCCCAGAATACCTTGGTGGACGGTTTGGGGGCATGGGAAAGGTTCTTGGGTTTCGGGGCAACAGTGGGAGGACCGGATTTGGTTTGTTGGAGACGAGGGCGCGGCCGGGGTTCGGGTTTCTTTGTAGCAACGAAGTCTCTGTTGGCGTCTCCGCAGCTCCCATCAGCCACCTGCTGCTCGAAGGCTTGTATCCTCGCTTTCAGAGTCGCCATGTCCTCCTCGTCCTCGTCCTCGCCTCCCTCCTCGCTCTCCGATTGGCTGTGCCCGCTGCTGTCGCTGCGGCGGTCGGGGAAGCCCCAGTCGTCGGCGCTGAAGGCCTCGAGCAGCTCCTGAAGGTACTTACCCTGACTCACTTCCTGCTGGCGAGCGCCGTCGGTTCCTGCGCGGGCGGCTAAAGTGGCCAAACCGTCCTCGCGCAGTTTCACCAAAGTCTGAACTTTGACCTCGTCGCTGAGCGGCTGCAGCGGGAGCCTGGAACGAGGGCGCGGCTTGGGGCGCTCTAACGGCGGTGCCACTTCAACAGCTGCTACGGACTGATCCCATTGGTCGGTCTGAGCGCCAGAGGTTGAAGTCAAAGGCGAACAAAGGTCAGTGAGGAGCTCACAGCACGGTGTGTGAGCGGCGGCGGCGGCGGCGGCGTGTGCGACTGTCT